CTCCACCCAAATTCGGCCCCAGATTTGTCGCCGCCCAAATTCGCGGCACTGTTGCGGTACTAGCACTGTTGCGGCACTGTAGTGTTTTGTTTTTATTTGGTAATAATTGTTCAATCGTTGACTAATTAGGTTCAAAACGTTCGTCTCGCAAAGTACAACTAAACTGTGCAATTAGTTTTTGATTTCGTCAACATTTAGTACTCCATACATGTACCGCAAGTTTGATGTGACGGGGAATCTTCTTTTTGCATAGTGCCAAATTTTGAAATTTGGATGAACTAAACGTGGCCTTGTTAACCGAATGATGCCTAGCTTTTGCCCTCGTTTAGATTGCAAGTTTTTTCATTCTCTCTATCACATCAAATCTTTGGACACGTGCATGGAGTATTAAATATAGATAAAAAATAACTAATTACACAGTTTGATTGTAAATTACGAGACGAATCTTTTGAGCCTAGTTAGACCATGATTGGACAATAATTATCAAATACAAATGAAAGTGTTACAGTGTCAAATACTGATTTCTAACCCAATCTAAACTAGGCCTTTGTGCTAGTAGAACTCGTGGTTGCTGTAGTTCTCGAGGTTGGACTGCTGCTTCAATCAAGGAACAACTGTTGAAGATAACGGTTTTTTGCTGTGGCAACTGGCAACGAACTTGCATAGGGAAAACGGTAATGCTCTGGCTCATGCATCAAGTGTTCCTGGATTCGGAGAATTGTTAACCGGATGATGCCTACCTTTGTGCTAGTAGAACTCGTGGTTGCTGTAGTTCTCGAGGTTGGACGGCTGCTTCTTTGTGTCAACTGGCAACGAACTTGCATAGAAAATACGGTAATGCGCTGTTCAGGACGTTCCTCCGGACAGACGGACCTGTTGTTGCCCGCAATGTCCACGAGGTTTTTTTATCCGCTCCTACGTGACACCGCTCGCGCCGCTTGCTCGCATAAAAAACAGAGTTAAATGCACGGTAGATTAATTAACTTTTGGTCGTGTGTCATCTAGGTTCATTAATTTTTAAACTGTATTTTTTGATTTATTAATTTTTTGTGGTGTGTCATCCAGGTCCATCAACTTTTAAACTGTATTTTTGGGTCAATTAACTTTTGGTGGTGTGTCATCCAGGTCCATCAACTTTTAAATTGCATTTTTAGGTCCCTCAACTTTTTAATTGGTTCACCGTATGTCCATACTCCTTTGTTTAGCGAATAGATCTGACATTGCACGTCAAAAAAGCAGCCACCGTGGAGTACAGGACGAGATCACCATCTGAAGATAATCTTCAATACGAAGAATCTGATGGGATCACCATCTAGGGTTTCTCGAGCGACGGCTTGACGGGGAATAAACTCGACAATAAAATCCAGTCTAATCTACCCGGTACAAGGCCGAATGCCACAGGTATAGGCGCGCAGGCCACCTGACTCAAACAAAACTCGGACTCTGCCAGCCCAATTAGGACCGATTGACCCTAAGTCTCTGATTCGGCTAACATGCACGGCACGTTCAAACACAACCACCAATTTGACTCACGTAGGCACTAAAAGCTAGATGTTAGATAAAAGATCGTGTGTCACAACTGGATAGGAAACTAATGCATGGAAATAATAAAATACTATAGCAACGATGCTAATCACGTTGGGAAAATTCCATTGATGATCTCCACCTCTTTAGAATTAGTACTGATGTATTTTGTTGGCTTCATTTTCTCCTCCTTTCCACGCAATAATAAGGCACCTCTATAAAATATCTTTGATAATAGTTTAATAGTTGTAAATCTCTCTATGTCCACAATATATTTATCCTTAAAAATAATAGTCCCAAATTTAAGACCAGAGGATATTAACGAATTACCAACTGCTACATTTGAATTATTGCTAGACAAGTCTCTATGAATATCTTGAGGAGCTATGGACTCATCACCTACTCTACGGTGGCTGCTTATTTGGCGCGTCATGTCGGATCTATTCGCTATAAACAAAGGGGTATGGATCTACGGTAAACCAATTAAAAAGTTTAGGGACACAAAAATGTAATTTGAAAATTGATGGACCTGGTTGACACACCACCAAAAGTTAATGGACCCAAAAATACAGTTTGAAAGTTGATGGACCTGGATGACACACCACCAAAAGTTAATGGACCTAAAAATACAGTTTGAAAGTTGATGAATCTAGATGACACACCACCAAAAGTTAATGGATCTACGGTGCATTTAACTCAAAAAAAGAAAACAAACCATCGACGCCAAGACTTCCTCAGATTCATGGGTTGCCAAGCGGCATTTACGCGCCCCCACCCCGCCGATCGACGCCGCTGGCCAAGCACCATCCAAGCGTCCGCCCACCTCTCCCCTTCCTCTCTCTTTGCCCACGCCGCATGTATATACAAAACGCCCAAGCTATCAAATTTCAGAGCCATCAAGGAGGAGGCCCACGAGGGCCGAGGCGGTTGATTAACGTGAAGACCAAGGCAAGGCAAGCCAAGAATATTCAAGATAGGCTTATCTGGACGATAGTTATGATCAATCTGTTACGCATTCCATGTAACAAACTAGGAATCCAATATGTTAGTCCGATCACCCTCATTATAACCCTACCTCCTTTGTCTATATAAAGGAGGACAGGGACCTTGCGATTTGGGATCCATCTCCTCTCATTCCGGTCTACTACGTAGCCAAGAGCAACAACCCCTATAATTGAGCATACCAATACAAGAGCATCAGCAGCACCACTTGAGTAGGATTTTACGTGCACTGCGGTCTGAACCAGTATAAATCCTTATGTCTCATCTCGTGTGCTACAATCTGATTCCGTCTACACGATCACGTTGCTAGGCATCGCCGGAGCTAATTCATCCGACAATCTCTCTCTCCCTCTCCCGACGTGGCCCAAAGCGCGACCACCACCGCGCGCTGCGCATGGCTAGCCCGACGATGTCCCAGCCGTGTGGTGTAGCCCCCCGGTGGGGTGGCCGCTCGCCTGCATCGCGTGCTTCCACCGCACTCTGCCTCGCTACTCCTTCTACCAGATCCACTGCGCGACGAGACATCCGATGGTGGGGGGGACTACGGCGGCGACTACGGGGGGCTACGTGTCGAGCCCACGATACTAGCGGCTATGAAGGGGTCCCCGCCGGCCTCGTAGTAGGCGGAGTCCATCTAGTTGATGGTGGCGACGACACGGCTGCCTTCGTTGAACTCCACACGCTGGCGAGCCTCCATTTTGCAAGCAGCAAGGATATATTGCGATGTGCTGAAAACGCATGTTGCAAGTGTATGTTTTAAGTGTTTCGGATGTTTCATAGGTATGTTACAATTATTTCAGATGAATGTTGCAAAAGTAGATCAGAATGTTGCAATGGGTGTATATGTTGCAAAGGTCTGTTCCCAATGTTTCATCTGTGTTTTTGGACGTATTGTTGCAAGTGTGTTTATATGAATCTTGCATACATTTCACACATATGCTGTAAGTGTTTTAACTACATATTACGTATGTTTGCAATGGTTTTCATGTATTTTTATAAGTGTTTCATAAGCATGTTTCAAATGTTTTATTTGTCTTCAGACATATGTTGTAAATGTTTTATCTGAATATTTCAAAAGTAGATCAGGTGTTGTATATGTTACAATGCGCGTGAGAAGCAGAGGGGACACGAGCGATCCCCTCGCACGGTCTGGCAGCGGGCGGCGTCTGGGTGGCGGGGGCCCAGATCGTGAAACCCAGTCATAGGCGGGGGCGTGCTGGGTTTTTTTTCCGAGCGCGAGCGTGGATTGCTAGTACTGTAGCCCGGGTACGCAGGCGAGGGCCTCGGACAGGACGACCGGACGCTAGCGGTCCCGTAAGAAAAAATCCGTTTGTTGGCCTTGCATTGGCCAGATAGCTTTAAATTGCGGGTGTATTTTTTACAAGCTCAAGCTCGACTGTTACCGTCCACGTGAATCTCAATCTATCATCGTGTCCGTATTGCGTTCCAGCAATTACCTGTCCCACGTAGGAGTCCATGTAGCACTGTGCTTGGCGTTTACTAGCTCAGTGAAATAAAAGATCACTTTAGTCCGTGTTTAATTTCTCCCCTAAAATGTATGCTCTGTCCCATCGAATATTTGACACATACCTAGAGTATTAAATATAAACTAAAAAATAACTAATTACATAGTTTACGACTAATTTGCGAGACGAAATTTTTAAGACTAATTAGTCCATGATTTGACAACGTAGTGATACAGTAACACATGTTCTAATGATAGATTAATTATGCTTAATAAATTTGTCTCGCGGATTACTGAAGAATTCTATAATTTGTTTTCTTAGTGTTCGAACATCTCATACGACACCCTATGACAGCTCGAAACTTTACTGCCTGAATTTAAAGCAGCCTTCCTATCTAAATCGGGGTGAAAATGAGCTGAACCCGAGCAAAGACAATGCCAAAATCTCGATCGGGGCGATGATTCCTTCTATCCCTACGAGGTGGGCCATCCAATCGCCATCGGTCACCAGAACCAGTCCGTATAAATAGCGATTGGCCCCATTCCAGACGCAGACATCGTCGTATTATAATCCCCTAGATTCTCAAACCTACGCCAGGCAGGGAGAGGGGGGCCTGCAGCAGCTGCAGGGCAGCAGGGGCCCTCTCCTCCTCTATAGTATTCTGCCACGCCCTCCAATCCCTCAACAACATTTTGAGCCACGCGACGCGCGACGCTGCCTGTTGGATCCGCCCGTGAAGAAATCTCTGCGTCGGCTCATGCACGCGGCGCCGGCCTCCCTCTTTGCCCACCCCTCTTGGCCTCTTGCGAAAATAAGAATTCCGGTTGCATCCCCGTCTCCAATCCATGAGCGGTCGATTCGATTTAAATAGGGGACAAAGATCGGGCGCAGGTGCTGGCACGCATCAGGTTTGATTTTTTGGTGCTATCTCCTTGTTCCCTCGGATTGTCCTTCTCGTTGTCGCCGCCGCCGGCCAGCGATACCGAGAGGTTAAGTGGGGAGGGCATCATGGACTCGCACAAGGGGGGCAGCAGCGGGAGGCGGGGGCGAGGTGAGGCGGATCAACGTGGTCTACTTCCTGAGCCGCGGCGGCCGGACGGACCACCCGCACCTCTTCCGCGTCAACCACCTCAACCGCGCCGGCGGCGTCCGCCTCCACGGTACGTTCGTCGGCCGTTCTTCCTCCATTTTCAGATCCATTTTTGCATCTACTACGTGCGATCGTCGATCAATGCCGCTCATTATTCTTTGCCGTTTGTGCCGAATCGTTTTGTTCGTTCAGATGTCAAGAGGTGGCTCTCCGAGCTGCGCGGCAAGGACATGCCGGACAATTACTCCTGGTCCTACAAAAGGTAGTAGTATATACTATGATGATCGATGAACCGCAGTGCAGCATTTCTGCCTTCCTATAAATATGACGAGGATTTTCTTTGGTTGCCAGTTAATTCATTTCTTTCTTTGGCTGTGTCGATCTGTATTGATTGAATGTTACTAATTTCTTGATCCATGTCGATATTATTCTGTTAGACTAGAGGTTCTAGTCTATTTAATTTCCATATATATACATAATCCTCCCATTATTCCTCATCACCAGGAAGTACAAGGCCGGGTACGTGTGGCAGGACCTGAAGGACGACGACCTCATCACGCCCGTCTCCGACAACGAGTACGTGCTCAAGGGCTGCGACGTCCGGGGAACACCTCCTCCCTGCGTCCAAGCGCCAAGAAGGACTTCTTCCTTAGGTGACTCATCCACGCCTGAATTTCCATTCCATTTTGTTTCTATCTAGCCTAGGTTTTCTCATCATTCAATCTTTTTGTTTTGCGGAATGGTTTTTGTTATTATTTCTGCGTTGAGGTTAACAATTCGACCCGCTGTCGTTTATACCAGGCGAGAAGAAACGCAAGGAGGAAGAGGAAGACGTGACGCCGTGCAACGACGATCAGAACGGCCCCGTGGAGGTGGTACTGACGACACCTGACTCCAACGAGAGCTCCCCGAAGCCGCCGCCGCCTGCGGACCAGGACTCGCCCGGAGGCTGCGAGTCGGCGCGCCGCAGCACGGCCCCGTTCAAGGTCGAGAAGCCGCAGGACCTCGACGAGCAAAAAGCATCAGGAGCAAGTGGTGATCAAGATCGAGGTGTCACGGTCACAGAACCACCAGCGGCAAAAACACGAGGACAAGGAGGAGGAGGACGAAGGAGAAGCGGCAGCCGAGAAGACCGACACCAAGGCTGCGGCGGTAGAGGAGCAGCCGCAGGGAGAGGGAGCGGCGGGGGGCGTCAGGGGCCACGCGCACGCGGTGGGGAAGCAGGCGCGGAGGATGCGCGTGGCGCGGGCGCTCCACAACATGCTGACGTGCGCGCGCGCCGACGCCGACGACGCCGCGCTCCGCCCCCTGGCGGCGCGGCGGCAGGACGGCGGCGGCGGCGACTCGCCCACGCTGACGTGCCCCGGCATGGAAGGCTGCGGCCTACGGTGAGTTGTTGGAAACGCATATTCACGTCACGCGGCACACAAGAATCGGTCGGCACGCAGGCCGATCCAATTCGATGGCTTGGTTTGGTTAGTTCCTTTTTGCTAACTTTTGCAAGCGCGTACGTGCGTGCGTGCGTGGCAGCGTGAGCCGGAACCGGAAGGCGGCGAGGCCGCCGAAGGGCGGCAAGGAGAAGCAGCAGCGCAAGCGAGACGGCGAGAAGAAGCACGACTCAAACAAGCCGGCCACCCTGCCGCGTTGCTCGTAAGTGCCGCTGCCTGCGATGCTTCTGTTGTTCACTACTGGCTGTGTGTGCTTGTTTAATTTCTCGTTAACCTGATCGATTCGGTTCGGTTCTGAGTTCTGACCCCGTTGCATGCTGGTCGCTCGGTCTCGCTGTGATTTGGCCAATCGGGTTTCATTCATGTGCTCAATCGGTTCCGTTCAGCTCCGCCTGCCCGTGACAGCAAGGGAAGAGATTCTGATTCTCTTTACTAGACTAGATACTAATCCAGTAGATGGCGATAAATTGCCAGGTCCGTACTGTTTCATTCGTGGATCTTGTACAAGGTAGGGTCAAGTTATCCCAAAAGTGAGTAGAAGACGAATGAGGGTGCATTTTAAACATTCAAATTTATTCGTAGATTCTTCTTAGGTTTTAATATAGGAGTATAGGAGTATATTATCCAGTGACAAGAACATATACCGATACTGACGTGCTAACAGCTTCCCGTATTAGAACCCCACTGATCCAAAACACATGGTCAGTCGATAAGGCCTGCTCACCTAGTCGACCAGGCTGAACGACTACTGGTGTACATTTCTGAATTTGGTGTGTCTGAATTTTGCTTGGCCGTGCTGTTCGGTTCTGCTCCCTCTCTCCCAAATTATTTGTCGCTTTTAGTTTTCGTCTTGCAAGTTTAGTTTGACTCGATTTAGAAAAAATACGTGCAACATTTGTATCTCTAGATAAATTTATTAAAAACTAGATTAAAAAATCTTTCCAATGATACTAATTATGTACCATAAATATTTATATTTTGTCAAAGTTGTTTCTCGGGAAGCGAAAATGATAGATATTTTTTGGACGGAGGGAGTAATACCCTGAGCATTGGTGTGTGTTGCAATTAGTAACAGGTTGTCAAGCAGAGATTCTCCACGTAGTATTAATAATACGATATGCCTGCCGTCTCACGTACGCATGTTTTTGACAACGTGGATGGATGCAGGCAGTGCGGGAAGGAGTTCAAGCCGCAGGAGCTGCACTCGCACATGCAGTCGTGCCGGGGCTTCAAGGAGCGGATGAGGAGCAGCACCAGCGCCCGGCCCAGCACCGACAGGAGGCGCAACTGGCCGACCGCCGGTCACTACTCCTCGGAGTCGGAGCGGCCGTCCTCAGCCTCCGCCGTCTTCCTGCTCACGGAATCCTGACGGGATCGTCATTCGTCAACTGAACTGATTGCTCTTCTAGCTGATCTCAAAAATGAATTCAATACACTAATGTTGCGGAATGGGATGTACATCGTGCGTGCGGATCGAATGAAGCGACGTTGTTAGGATCATTTTGTCTAGTTCTGGCAGTGTGCAGCAATACATATATACCTGTTTGTCTCGACATTTTGCTTGCTTCATCTGTGAATAAAAAATAGATGACTTTCTGTATTTGATCGCCTCTGCGCATCGATGTTTGGGTTAACAGTGTGTGCTTGCTGCTTTGGACCGTTCCTAAGCTTTCAGGTAGCCAGCGCAAGTAAATATAAATTTTTTAGATCAGGCAATAGTCACTGCTGTCTAAAGAAGAAGAGGAAAGAACGATGAAAGAGGGATGCAGACATTTAAAAGGCGTGGCGCTACAACTTTTTGGCTCCAGTGAGTGGAAGAATCTCAAGAGGATAGGAGTTTAATGCATGTGTGTTTTGATCTGCCTTCTCTTGAAGCTAGGAGTTTAGTGTTGTCTGGTTGGTGTTCAGTGGAGCTTTGGACATCTTGTTTTGTCACCTGTGTTTGTCAGGTTAGTCCGATTAGCGGAAACTTGTCAGGTTTGTCTGGTTGGGGTTCAGTGGAGCTTTGGACATTTTGATTTGTTGCCTTCTAATGTAAGGTCACCTGTGTTTGTCAGGTTAGTCCGATTAGCGGAAACTTGTCAGGTTTGCCCGCCTAGCAGAAACTTGGGCTCAGTCCCTTTCTTGTAAGTTTAAGCCATAAGCATTCACTGGTGAATGCGAAGGCTGAAATCTTTTTTCAGTAATCTAAAAAAAAGTAAATATAAACTCGACCGGTCCTTCAGATCATGCCATGTGTTTGTCTTGAGTTGTAACGGTCATCACTCATCAGATACGGTGGTGTGTGGCAGCGCAGTTATTTTTGCTAAGCCAACAGCGCGTGAACAATTACGTGCATTCGTGTATAGTACTACAATGGTTCCATCATGACGTACGGTGCGGGGGAGTAGCAGCTACGAGCCTACGACGACATGTAGGCACGAATCGTGAATTCGTGACGGAGCACGTAGGCAAGCTACGGCCGGCCAGCCGGCCACTCTTCATGTAATTGTCGGCGGGGCGCGAAGAGAGGACCGAGCCCGGCCAGGTGGACGTCGGCGTCGGCAGCACGATGGGGGAGGGGCAGAGGGAGGGCGGCCGGCAATTAACCAGCGCGGAGAAGGCAAGAGGCAGAGCGGGGAAGTGTGAGGCATGCCCTCATGCCCGGGCGGCCGGGCCACGCCCACGCCACCATTCCTGCCGGCGCGTGTGGTTTCGGCTCGGCGGGACCCATATTACGTGAGAAATCACGTAGCAGTTGCATCATAAGTTCATCATAACCAAACAAATCATCTCCAGAACCAACGTTTGATTGGCGACCATCGTTTTCTTGCGATACTCGAACAACAAGCAAGGCGGCTGAATCAACCAACAAAGCCACCGAATCCTTCGATGATACTGATGATGACTATTACTAGCACAAATAACACACCGGTTGGCGCCCGCCTTGGCGAGCGCGCGCACACATGTACTTGCTTCGTCCCGGCACAAGAGACCAAAAACTGACCATTCATTCAGATACTACCGCCCACGCAATCACCCCCAGCTAATCATAGCAAAGCCTAAAATTAAGACAGGCCAGCCAGCCAGGCAGGCTGTGAAACTCCAAAGCCTCATCCTCGTTTCCAAGGACCAAGGCCACGCGTACTCCGCCTAAACAAGGCCCCGCCACCAGCTAGCTATATATGCCCGGCCTCTCCCTCCCGCCCTTTCCCATCCCAACAAGCCCAGCTCGCTAGTTTCGTGCTCCTCCTCTCCTCCTTCCCATATCTCGAGCACCGAGACCGATCGAGAAGCTAGCCTAGCGAGATGGCGGCCACCCTCAGGCTCAGGATCCTCGCCGCGGCAGCCGCCGTCGTGGCCTCGTCGCTCGTCGGCGTCGCCACCGCGTCCGAGGCGGCGCCAGCTCCCGGCCCTGCCAGCCCCAGCACTGCCAGCCCCGCCGTGACTGCTGGTCCGGCGCTCGCTATCGGCACGTTCGCGTGGCCGCCGTTGGGTACCTCTTCAGCTGAGCTCCGTTGCGCGCGTCGCTTCATCGCTACTTTTACGGTTGTTGCCACTATTTTCGTTGGGTGTGTTTTGATCGGTTGACGTACGCGAGTTGCCGGTTGGGAGTGTGCGCATCTTGGATTCTTGGTTCATGTAGATCGACCTGTTTACACAGCTTATATATATCTCTATCTCTACCCCTATAATACACCACTTCAAATTATCCTACACCACCAAACAAATCTCACATCTACAAATACGACCTAAACTACGTCCACCCCACAAAATCGCTAACATTAAAAACGCGACGCACTTAATTCACTCATTCGCCTCCTTACTCAACCATATCCGACGGTCGATATTGTTTGGATCTCCGCTGATCTCCCCACTTCACCGCTTCCACCCAACCCACGCTGCAGTATTTTCTTCTGTTGGGTCCCGTCCACACCGCCGCCTTAACCCAGGCCCCCGAGGCTTGATCTCGGTTGACGTACGCGAACTCTCCTACCACCACATCGACCACAACCGAACCCGCCCCCATGACCGGCCGCCTCAACCCACTTCGGACGCGGCACAACATGCATCTTGGATTCTTGACAGCATGTTCATGATAGATCGACCTGTGTTCCATCGCCAGCTATATATATACCCCATCCGGTTCGGCCCTCCATGAAGCGTAATTCTCAGTCCGGGCTGCAGTGGGATGAACCACTCCCGCCCCAAGCCGGTCGTCAGCAGCCGGCACTTGGGGAGATGGAGATCGGCTAAGCATCCTCCATGTTGCGCACGTCAGGTTGTAAGCGCGAATTCAATACCCCTAGATTAGGATTACGTGTATCCAATTTTTTTCTCCCGATTAGCCCGTGATGTAAACTTTGATCCTTCCATATATTATTGGCCTTCCTCAATACAACAAATTTTTCCAGTCCCCTCAGGATGTTCAAAAAGACCCATGGCCTACGTCATCTTCTATCTTCTCTGCTTGGTCTCCTCCCCACGCCTCCTATATCTCCCGGATGTATTTTTTTAGGTTGCCAGCTGGTACATTGTATAAGACTTTGCTTTTCTTTTTTCAATCACTCTGATCTGATGCAAATAGTGAAGTGATGGGCCACATCATATTCTTCGATTTGTGATGGAACTCCACACTATCACATCACCATTAGTCAATTAGTACCAATCTAGATTCTTGTATGACCGCCATAGAAAATGGAATCATAAATCCAACCATGATTCAAGAAGCTGTATGGAATGTAGAGATGATTTGTTTCCTTCAATAATGAAAAAAAGATCTATCTTGTAACATGTATTTATATTGCAGTTCACAATGAGACATGAAGTTATGCAGCTAAAGTCATCCTTTGGTCCATATTAGGTGCTTTCATTCATCATTTGTATTCAAAAGATGATTTGTCCTCTCATACCAAACCAGCCCAATAAGCGGATTGTAGCTTGTATGCATAGATCATTTCTCTTGGCTGATAACATCTAATTTTTTCTAGCTGGTACATTGTCAAGAGCACAAAAATAATGGAATAATCAGATGATTATATATTGCATTTTGCTTCGGATCTATCCCATAATCAGCTAGTGATTTGTCATTCCTTCATTGAATTCACATCTGATTTTTTGAAAGGGTATGGATTTCTGCTGTTCACAAACATGGATGGTTTTTCATCACATATATTCTTCGTTTGCTATGGAACTTCAGAACTGTATGAGACAAACATAAATCGTCGGTTTGGAATGCATATCTCTATTGATTTGTACTGGTATCTGTAATTTGGTGAATTGTTTCATTTAACTATAATACTTCTTGTATGGTTTTCTCTTGAACTATGTCCATTTGCCTGCAGCTCGTGATAACAAGAACCATACATAATTTGGTGAGAACAGGTGACAAGCAAATAGACAGGTGACAACAAATAAGCTTGGTCGTTGTCTCCATCGACGGAAGACATCTGAGCTACCAAGGAGACAATGTTGAAGGCTGAAATAGTTGCTAGGAATTATAAAAAAAATCGTCAAATGTTTAGTGTAATTTTGACGTCTTCTTGAGACATGTGCATTTGTGTGTCTGTGATGTGATTCTCTGTTATTCTATTATGAAGTTATCCATCATGCCACAAGAACTAATGCTTCGTGATGTCAGGAAAGCTGTCCTAATTGTTCAATTGCAACCTTGTAATTTTTCTTTTACATGAAAAAAATTTGGTGCTTTACTTAGCTTCCTACCACTTTGGTTGTTTCTTGAAAAAAAAATATAGTTGTTTGGTTGTTGTCGTGTGCATTCCTGAAATGCTGCCGTTGTATTAGCACGGGCATTATACTAGTATATGAAGTGATGCAGTGAGTTATTCATTGCGTTTTTTCTTGTGTGTGAGATAAACATGCATATTATGCAGCAACACAACTACACTTGAGCATATGCAATTGACTGCTGGGGGTAAAAGGGTAGATTAGATTGAGAATGGTCGGTATTAGCATATATAGTAGTAGAATAGAGATTTTAAACCACCGATACAAAATGTAAATCTACACAAACGAAGGGGTAGATAGTTTTTGTACAAACTTGATAAAGTCACAACTTATCGACGTAAGGTCTTCTTTTGTTCTAACAAAAAGAAGTGGTACAATAATAACAAGTAAATTCAACTGCTGTCAAATACGGTACAAAAAAAATGCTGAAAAATAAGTGCGTGTCATCAACTCGCCAATCAATCACCCTGTTTACTTATGCTGAAATTTAGCTTATACTAATGTTTATTTTGAAATATTATGAGAGAAAAACACTGTTCCATGACTGAAGAGTAGCTCAAGCGAACATGGTGAATATTTCCTAACTCCGCTGACCACCTCACGCCTCAACCCTGCGACTCGGCAAGGTGTTACACACCCAATGTCTGTACAAGAAGCATAGATGGATCAGAATGACTTGTTAAAATCTGCATGTCCAGCATCTCTGCTGAGTATGAAGTATCCAGCTTTCATCACCCTCTGCGGAGTCCATGCGTTGAAAATGCTGAACCCTCAGCGGCAGAATTAAATGCATGCAAATTATAGCGAATTGGTCTTCATAAATCCTCTAGAAAGAATGAAGCAAGGCAGTTTCGTGAGGCACATGCATCTCTTCAAACGTTCCTCCACAATCCAGGGCCACAATGCCCGTTTTATCATTGTCAATTGCCAACTTAAGATGACCTCAACCGTGACTGCCCTTTTCCCTGAATCGAGAACATGAATCGAATGAAATGTGAGGCATGATAGCCAAAAGAAATATCTTCATATGAGTGCATTTCAAATTTACCTTTCTCCTTTTTGTTTTTTCAGTTTTCCAGCATGGAAAGAGCCCATGGCAACCAGGTGCTCTGGACTCAGAAACCCTGTAAATCAGGCATGGAAATAGTTTGTGTTACAAGCTGAAATGTACACAAACTTTTGTGAACCATGAAACACATAGAAACTTTTGTTGAAAGTTGACTATGGAGATGTATAATGCTAATGAAAGATGCTTCAATGCCACCTCCAAAGTCAGTTAATTTGACTAAAAAATAAGAAATTATGTCAGTGTGCTGCCCTTTGTAAGTTGTATGCGGCTACATTTATGTAGTTGTTTACTTTTTCTAGTAGCACTGCCAATCTTCTAAAGACAAGATCAAAAACTATTGCTGGATTCATGCAGATTACAAATAGTAAATATGTTACTTACACGCTCTCGTTGTCACAATTTGCCAAATGGCTATTTCTATGCAAAAGGCTTGGTGAAATGGCATAACCATTCTCCATCTGTACATTTTGACTTTTATGGGGACCATGACTGTTACTGATCTTTAAGGCCTTCAGTTCATTAGACAGATCCTTGTCAACATGTCTTGAGGGAACAATGCTGGCCATTGAGGACCTCCCGTGATGCTGACCACCATTTTGTGGAAGAATTTGATTTCTCTCAGGTCTAGCTTGATTTAACATACCAGGCGTGGGTTTTTCAGCAGCCTGGAGCCATGCACTCTCTAACCTTTGTTCATCGAGAGCTGATATCTTCAACTGTTCAACAGAAACATCCTGGCCTCTTGTTCTGTGCATTCCTGAATTTTCATCAGAGATGATCATGGGAACATTGCTTGGCTGCACTCCGCCAGCACCTGATAGATTCAGAACACCCTTTCGACGTTCACTGTTCGTTGAACAACTCAAGACATCAGATTCAGCTGTCTCATCCGGGTATGTCTCATGCTTTAGTCCTCCAGCAAGAAATTCTTGCATTAAACAAATCCTGACTTCCACATTGCACTTCAGTACAGTTTCCATTGAATTTCTGATGCTGCTAATAAATCTTTGGGCTCGAAACTTTATATCATTGTCCTCAAATGCTATAAAAGCAACAATGGTACCTGAAATGAAGCATACCAAAATCAAGTTTGGGCAGATGAACAGCTGTGCACCAGGAAAGAACAAATAAGTGGCAAGA